AACTTTTTGTAGAGACAGGGCTCTCACTTCGTTGATCAGGCTGGTCTTGAACTCTTGGCCTTAAGCCGTCCTCCTGCCTCAGCCTCCCAAAGTGCTGGAATTACAGTGGTGAGCCACTGCACCTGGCACTTTCTCCTTTTGTGGACATGAACTTTTCTGTGTGACTGGAACAAGTAGTTCAAAATGAACTGGCTAGAGTTTCTCTTTTTTGATAATAAAAAACCTACTTTGTAAATAACGTGTCTGGAATAGCAGTAGTTATGGCACAGACTAGTTCAGGTTACATATAGGATTAATGCTTTCCCTCCCCAGAATGCTTGAGGAGCAGTAAGGATTAAAAGAAATAGACTAGGCCGGGCGCGGTGGCTCAAGCCTGTAATCCCAGCACTTTGGGAGGCCGAGATGGGCGGATCACGAGGTCAGGAGATCGAGACCATCCTGGCTAACACGGTGAAACCCCGTCTCTACTAAGAAATACAAAAAATAGCCGGGCGAGGTGGCAGCGCCTGTAGTCCCAGCTACTCGGGAGGCTGAGGCCGGAGAATGGCGTGAACCCAGGAGGCGGAGCTTGCAGTGAGCTGAGATTCGGCCACTGCACTCCAGCCTGGGCGACAGCGCGAGACTCCGTCTCAAAAAAAAAAAAAAAATAGACTAAACAAACAGTTCTGTACCTGCTTTCATGGCCTGTCTTTATATTGTAGCCCTTTTTAGTTTGAAGCATTAAATCGTCCCACACATTTGGCTTACCCAAATGATGCTGGGATTTTTCCTGTCATTTCTCTGCTAACATGGATAATTAGGTTACAATACTAATGGTCTCCAGGTTTGGGGATGTTTGCATCTTTCTAAAGTACATCATTTGTTCCATGTTTTTATTGTGGTTATATATTTGCACACATATATAAAGATACAAATACAGTTTTTTCAACTTTTTTTAGCTAAAAAAATAGAGGTTCCTGCACAGTTGAAAGAATTAGTTTCGGATTTATCTTCTCAGTTTGTCATCTCACCTCCTACTTTAAGGAGCAGACAAAAAAACACGTCCAATAAGAACAAGCTTGAAGATGAACTGGTAAGAAATGCATGATTTTATTTGTGTTTGTTAAAACATACTTTTATTTTTTTTTAAATGTTTTAATTGTTTTAATTTTATTTAAATTTTAATGATTTTAAATTTTGTTTATTATTTAAGTAACTGTCTTAAAGATAACAGTCATGTATACTAAAAGCCAAAATGGTCTTGTCTGCCCCTTTGGAGACCCTCCTTACCTTTAAGACACATCTGTGGTATGTTACCGATGATATTTTACTGGCAGTTCTAGTTTAAATTACCTGTTTGTGGAAGGGTTTTTAAATTCTAGTGTCCATCAGAATTACGTGGGTGTTTTTTAAAGAAATAGTTGAGGGATTGAGTGGAAGTCCCTTATGTTTATAAATGTTAATTCATGAGCATTGATTGAATTGTCTGCCATGAGTCTGTTCCTCTGTAAATTACACAAAATAATTCAGGCAAATTCCTTGTCTGTCAGGCACCTACAGCTGAACTGAGATACACAGTTTCGTTGAAGAGATGAAAGCAATTATTTCAAATCATTTATACTCAAATACTTTGTAGACCAAGGTTAGAGGAGACAGGCATTCCTCCTGACAGAGTAAATGGCAGAGGCAAAGGCTCAGAGCGTGGCAGTAGCAGGCAGATGAGGAGTGTTCATTGTGAATAGCCATGTGTAGATTGCAGGTAGTTTCTATGAAAGATGAAATGTGGGTAGGAGAGAATAGTCTCTGGTTGTCTACTTAGAAACCGAGAGCCTGGATATGGACAAAGGGAGTGGGTACAGAAGGCAGTAGACAGTGGAGACATTCAAAAATAAAACTGATCATAACTTGGAGATGAGTTGAATTGTAGGAATAAAGAACAGGCCTACATGACTAAGGTTTCTACTAAAAAGTATGAGAAAAGGAGTCAGTTTTGCACTGGCAAGTTTGAATTCATCAGCAATGTTTGGCTGTAGTATTCCTTGTCTCAGTATAGAAGTTTTAAAATTAGTTTCGTGTTTAGTACTTAACTTTTTAAAATGTTTAACCCATAGAAAGATGATGCACAATCAGTAGAAACTGTGGGAAAGCCAAAAGCGAAGCGAATCAGGACATCAAAAACAAAACAAGCAAGCAAGTATGACTTTCTGTTCTGTTCTGTTCTTGATTGATTGATTGATTGAGACAGTCTCGCTCTGTCGCCAAGGCTGGAGTGCAGTGGTGTGATTTTGGCGCACTGCAACCGCTGCCTCCCAGGTTCAGGGGATTCTCTTGCCTCAGCCTCCCAAGTGGCTGGGACTACAGGTGCTGCTGAAGGTGGATTTCTTTTTTTATATATATATATATATATATATTTTTTTTTTTTTTTTTTTTTTTTTTTTTTTTTGAGACGGAGTCTCGCTCTGTTGCCCAGGCTGGAGTGCAGTGGCCGGATCTCAGCTCACTGCAAGCTCCGCCTTCCGGGTTTATGCCATTCTCCTGCCTCAGCCTCCCGAGTAGCTGGGACTACAGGCTCCCGCCACCTCTCCCGACTAGTTTTCTGTATTTTTTAGTAGAGACGGGGTTTCACCGTGTTAGCCAGGATGGTCTCGATCTCCTGACTTCGTGATCCGCCTGTCTCGGCCTCCTAAAATGCTGGGATTACAGGCGTGAGCCACCGCGCCCGGCCGATTTCTTTATATATTAATAGCATGAAAGCCCAGTCCTTTTAAAAGGAGCATGGGAGGAATAAAAATAAAATAATAAAAGGAGGATGGTAGGGTGGGGGCAGTTTAGTTCCCAGTGGATCTTTCTGGTTTTTGCAGAAAAACAAAGTAGGGGAGGGAAGTGTGATGGTTTACCTCTTTGTTAGGAAAATTAGGTAACTATTAGTAAAAAATAATGATACATTTTTAAATCCTGCAGTTATTTTACAAAAAGCAATAAAACTGCATCCATGGGAAAATTACTCTATTTCAGATATATTTGTTACACAGAATCTTGTTTATGCTGTGCTTAGTAGGCATGGTTGAATTTAATAAAAGTACAAGTTGATACATTTTATTTAAAAACTGATTTAATAACACTATAACTAATATCACTGTTTACATATATATATACTGGCGTATCTATTTGAGAAACTCTTGTTTGTGAAATTCTGTGGATCTTTGCTAATTGCTGGTGTTTGATCATTGACAGTTCTGATGGGCCTGCGGGGCTCTCATCCCCTGGGCTGACTACTGGTATTCGGCCCATCCTTGTAATCCAGCAGTATTTTTTCATACATTTGAAACATTTAGAGGAAAATTCAATAATTGAATAATTGTTTGTAAATATTCTAATCGAAAAGGAAAAATTCCCCTTAATGAAACCTTAACTCTGCTTCTGATTAGCTTATATGACTTAAAGCTTCACTTCAGTTCTCTAGAAACCATTACATCTTTTATAAAATGAAAGCACTAAGCAGTCCCTAAGGTTTCTCTCAACATGTTGGGAAGCCAGTTTTATTTTATAGCATAATGTGTTTATTCTTACTTGATCATATCTTTTTTTTTTTTTTTTTTTTTCAGAAACACAGAAAAAGAAAGTGCGTGGTCACCTCCTCCCGTAGAAATTCGGCTGATTTCCCCCTTGGCTAGCCCAGTTGACGGAGTCAAGAGCAAACCAAGAAAAACTACAGAAGTGACAGGAACAGGTCGTGGAAGGAGCAGAAAGAAACTATCTTCGTATCCAAAGCAAATTTTACGCAGAAAAATGCTGTAATTTCTTGGGAAGTTTTTAATGTACACCTATTTGTAAAGTCATCAGAATAGTGTGGATTATTAAATATCTAGTTTGGAAGAAAATAATTTATATAAATTATTGTAAATTTTTATGTAAACAGAAGGTCTTCAATAAGTAAGTAACTCCATATGGAGTGATTGTTTCAGTCCAGGCAATTTTTCTATTTTATATTAAGACTTCATACATTTATATAATATGTAAATATGGCTTCTTAATGGAATGTTAAATAAAATGTATACTTCACAGTCGTTTGTGTCTGTTGGTTTTTGAAAGGGAGGGGTATCTGTTTGGATAGTTTTATATGCTCATTGGTCTCATTTTCTCTATAATGAAAATATTAGACCAGTCTTAAAATGGGGATGATTGAACTATTGATATTTCTTTTTACAGTTACTATTTTATAATTTATGCACTTTGATTCTGTGATTCAGATTTCTAATCATAAAATTTTTTTTTTTTTTTGCTTTTGGCTGTTACTATGTTAAAATTGAATTATGGGCATGTAATTTTGCCATCTTTGTAGTTTCACAAATTTTGTGTAATCTACCTCAAATGAATAATCCAAGTATTGGTTAACTATAATGTTGGCATCTCTTATTCAGCAAGCTTACAGACTCTTCAAAGTCTTAGTCAAAGACTAATCCAGGTTAGATTGACCGGTTCACTGCTCACTTGCAACCTTATCAAAGGGTTTCAAAGGGAAATGTAAAATAAACCTGTTTATGGATATTGAGTGCATCTTGTATGTGCCTAATATTGATAGGATGAGATGTCTGAACAAATTTTTATAATATTGCTGTTTGCTACCGAACCACAGAAATCCCTTAATATTCAGGTTTTAAAACTGGCAAATTCTCACAGAACCTCAGGCACAGATTAAGGTTGGGAGAGAGTGAGTAGATGTAGAAAAGGAAAGAAGCAGCACACGCCCTGTTCTCTACAGTACAACTGCAATTACGCAATGATACTTGGTGTAGGCTCTAACATTCATCAATAAATAAGTGTTGTAAAATAATTTATAACAGGTAATTGATAGTGTGTAATGAATGGACTATTAATAATTGATCGCCTAGAAACGAACTGCTTTTGTGGGCTAAGCTTTTAATGTTTTAATGTGAAGCATAAGCAGTGTGCTCTCTGCATTTATTTTTCTACCAAATAATCTGGATAATGAGAAACTGATGAAAATGCCTACGCCAAGTATGGACAGTGTGAAAGTAGCAGTGCGAGTGCGGCCTTTTAGTCAGGTTAGTGATGGATGTTACGCTGCCTTGTTGAAAATTTCACTGACTTTGATTTTACTACTTTTTTAATGATAGTTATCAAACTTGTATAGTAAGCTGCTTGTCATTTATGGAATATTGAACTTATTTAAATGAACTTGTTAAATGAATTAATTTAAAGATCTAAACATAATTCAGCAAACAATTTTACTCCTTTGCGCAAGTAGCACAATAAACATGGATGAAATGTTTGTCAAGTTAATGCTTTTTTAAACCAACGCAATTTAGTGAATATAGATGTGTGGTACCTGTTTTTAATAAATGTACTTTTTCCCCCTCTGTGAATGTAGATCATAAGCAAACAAATTGCCTGTTCTAAATGAACTTTATATATATTTTAAATGAATGTATGTACTTATGTATAAATGTCTTTATATAGCTTGAATAAAAACACTGCTCATTAAATTGTGTTGCTACAGCATTTTAGGATAGCACATGAATGATATTCTCGGACCTTGTAGCAACTATGTATCTGATGATAACAGCACTGGTTAAACTAAGGTATTTAGTATCATAGTGAGGTAAACAATAGACTCAGATCAGGTATAGTTAATTCTGCCTGGATAGATATTGAAGGCTTCCTACATGTAGATAGAAGCATTTGAGAGGACTGTAAAGGCTTAGTAAAATGTCAGTAAAGACTTGCTCGACAAAACAGTATGTAAAGGCCTGGTCCTGAATGGGCTACAATGGAATGACCTTATATGAGGTCTTCCTGCTTTTACCATTATCAATATTACTTTGTACATCTTCAGTTGGAATCAGTTCTGTCTGTCCTGTGCCTCTGCATTCATCTATATTGTGGAGAATAGTTCAACAGCTGGGCACAGCTGTGTAATTACATAACCAGGTATATGTATAACTAGATAAGTGTAGCTGCTATTTAAGGATTCGAAAGTAGCATGGTTTCTAAGGCAACTGATCAAAAAATACCCAAGAATGAATTTGTGACCAGTATATTAACTGCTTTGGCCCAAGCAGACCTTCAGCAACAACGCAAGTGGTTATTCCTGCTGTCATTTTCACTGACCTCTAATATTGCCAGGATGAGTAACTCGTAAGTTTTAAACAGCAAATAAGGATTTGTAGGATTAGGCACTAAAACAGTCATGTATTTACAGAACCTTTAGGTTCCCTTTACAAAAAGATTGCATTTTATTCAAGTTCACCACCAAAGTTGACTAGCTTGGACTAGAATGGTCTAAGCAGGGAGTACAGAGGATGGATTCGGGAGACAGCTTGCAGGTGCAGTACTTGCTCTGTATCCACAGGGGCTGTGTTCTAAGGCCCCCAGTGGACTCCTGAAACCACAGGTGGAACCTAACCCTATATATACATTTTTTTCCTGTACATACATACCTATGATAGTGTATAAATTAGTCACAGACTCTTGTACTTTGGGGCCATGATAAAAATAACAGGGGCATAAGCACTGCAGTGCCACCACGGTCATCTGGTAACCAAGATGGTTACTAAGCGACTCTACATGGATATGCTAGACAAGGATGATTCACGTCCAGGCAGGACAGTGGGATGGCATGAGATTTTCACACACTTCTTAGACTGGTGGCACAATTTAAAACATACAAGGTATTTCTGGAATTTTCCATTTCATATTTTCAGATTCTGGTTGACTGCTGGTAACAAACCACAGAAAGTGAAACTGCAGACAAGGGGGGACTACCGTAGACAGAGATCATCCTGCCTAGACAACTGCAATACCTCCTACGTGAACTTGCCACCCCCGATCCATTCTTTACCTAGCAGTAAGAGAAAACTACATGTAAAACTATCATGGAGCTCTCTGCTCAAAACCTTTCAGTTTATTGAAAATAAAGTTTTACAGTTTACGAGGCCTAGGTGACCTGGACACTGCCTAATTTTCTAACTCCGTATCTAATGCTTATGTTCATTGTGGGATCAGAGAACCTAGTTTATGGCACTTTCATTATAAGAAGCAATATATTGCTGGGTACAGTGGCTCACCTGTAATCCCAGCACTTTGGGAGGCCGAGTTCAAGACCAGCCTGGCCAACACGGTGAAACCCCATCTCTACTAAAAATACAAAAATTAGCCAGGTGTGGTCACGCACACTTGTAGTCCCAGCTACTTGGGAGGCTGAGACACGAGAATTATTTTAACCCGGGAGGCGGAGCCTGCAGTGAGCCAAGATCACACCACTGCACTCCAGCCTGGGTGACAGAGTGAGACTCTGTTTCAAAAAAAAAAAAAGGCAATATATTCTTAGACAGTATATTCTCTGGGCCTCAGTTTATCTGTAAAATGGGCTCGACGCTTCCCAAGATTGCTATCGTAAGTAACAGAGGAAGGTAACGTACGTATATCGCAGAGCACAGTGCCTGACAACTATTTCAGCTGCTACGTTTTTCACCATAATCTCTCTTAAACAACTTTGAGGCAATACAATTCAAAGTATACAATTCAATGGTTTTAAATATGTTCAGATATGTGCAACCATCACCACAGTCAATCTCAGAACATTTCCTCACCTAAGAATTTCTGTACCTTTCAGTTATGCTATTTCCCGTCCCTAAGCAACCACTAATGTCCCCTGCAGATTTCCCTTCCTGGGTGTTTCCTATGAGTGGAATCATATACAGTCTTTTGTGACTGTCACACAGCATGTTTTCAAGGTCCACCCATGTTGCAACCTATATCAAAATGTCATTCTCTATGGCTGGTGAATATTCAGGATTCTATTTTGTGGATACACACGGTTTTGTTCATCAGCAGGACACTTCAGTTGGTTCTGCCTTTTGCCTATTATTAATGACTGGTACACACATTTGTGTACAAGTTTTTGTGTGGGCATGCTTTCATTTCTCTTGGTTATATACCTAAGCATTGAATTGCTGAGCCATACGGTAGCTATGTTTAATCATTTGAGATATTCCCAGATTGGCCTCCAAAGCAGCTGTACCAACTTACATTCCCAACGGCGGTACATAAGGGTTCCAAATTGTTCACATCCCCGCCAACAACTCTTACCCGACCTTCCAATTACAGTCATCCTAGCTGAAATGAAGTGGCGTATCGTGGCTATGATTTACATTTCTCTAGTGACTAATGGTATCAAGCATCTTTTTAGGGGTATTTATTTGCATATCTTCCTGGAGAAGTATCAATTCAGATTCTTTGCTCATTTTTTAAACTGGATTGTCTTTATTATTGAGCTGATATTTATAGATTATGAATATGAATCCTTATCAGATACATGATTTGAAAATTTTTCTCCCATTCCGTGGATTGTATTTTTCACATTATCGGTGTTCTTTGAAGCAGAAACATTTTAAATGTTGGCAATTTTATTGCTTTGCTTTAGATGGCATATCCAAGAATCCTTTGTCCAATCCAAGGCCATAAAGATTTATTCCTGTTCTTCTAAGGCTTTTAGAGTTTTAGCTCTTACATTTATGCTTTTAATTCGAGATAATGTTGTATATAGTAAGAGATCAATTTTTTTTTTTTTTTTTTTTTTTTTTTAAGAAACAGTCTCCCTGTGTCACCCAGGCTGGAGGGCAGTGGTATGATCATAGCTCACTGTAACCTCAAATCCCAGGCTCAGGCACTCCCCGTACTTCAGCCTCCAAAATAGCTAGGGCTATAGGTATGTGCCACTGTGCCCAACATTTTTTTTTTTTTTAATAGAGATAGGGTCTCACTATGTTGCCAGGCTGGTCTCAAACTCCTAACCTCAAGTTATCCCCCTACCTCAGCCTCCCAAAGAGTTGAGATTACAGGCATGAGCCACTGCATCCAGCCAATTTCATTCTCACATAGCTATCCAGTTCTCCCAGTATCATTTCTTAAAAAGGCTCTTCTTTTCCCCATTGGATGGTTCTAGCAGCCTTGTTGAAAATCAGCTGACCATAGATGTCAGGGTTTATTTTTGGACTCAATTCTATTAATTTGTATGTCTGCCCTTGTCAGTACCACACTGCCTTCATTACTGTTAGTTGGTATTAAGTTGTGAAATCAGGGAGTGTGAATTCTACTTTTTTCTTCATTTTCAAGATTGTTTTAGCTACTATGGGTCCTTTGCAATCCATATGAATTTTTGAAGCAGCTCATCATAGCCAGGCATGGCGGCTCATGCCTGTAATCCCAGCATTTTGGGAGGCCGAGATGGGTGGATCGCCTGAGATGAGGAGTTCGAGACCAGCCTGATCAACATGGTGAAACCCCATCTCTAAGAAAAATACAAAAATTAGCCAGGCATGATGGGGGGGCGCCTGTAATCCCAGCTACTCAGGAGGCTGGGGCAGGAGAATTGCCTGAACCCAGGAGGCAGAGGTTGCAGTGAGCTGAGACTGTGCCATTGCACTCCAGCCTGGGTGACAGTGAGACTCCGTCTCCAGAGGAAAAAAAAAAAATTAGCTCAGCATTTTCTACAAAGAAGTTGAGTGGGTTCTCACAGGGATCGCACTGGATCTGTATGTTAGTTTGGTGAATTCTGCCTCTTCCAAATGACCGTAAGTCTTCTGGTCCACAAACATAGGATGTTTTTCCAGTCTTCGGTTTCTCAGTTTCTTTCAATAAAGTCATATAGCTGGCGGGGACGGCGGCTCACGCCTGTCATCCCAGCACTTTGGAAGGCCGAGGCAGGCGGATCACGAGGTGAGGAGATCGAGACCATCCTGGCTAACACGGTGAAACCCCGTCTCTACTAAAAATACAAAAAATTAGCCGGGCGAAGTGGCGGCGCCTGTAGTCCCAGCTACTCGGGAGGCTGAGGCAGGAGAACGGCGTGAACCCGGGAGGCGGAGCTGGCAGTGAGCTGAGATCCGGCCACTGCACTCCAGCCTGGGCAGCACAGCGAGACTGTCTCACAAAAAAAAAAAAAGAAAAAAAGTCATACAGCTTTCAGAGTGTGGTTTGTACTTCTTTCATTAAATGTATTCCTATTCTTTTATTATTTATTTATTTATTTTTGAGACAGTTT